ATAGAAACAAAAACTACTCGACGGATTTTAACGAAACTTGGTACAATTATTCTTCATACTCCTGGGCAGGTTATAGTATACTTTTCATCACGCTACAATCAATAGGAGCAGAGTAATGAAGGGAAATGTTGGGAAAACGGGAGAAGTTACTCCATTTTTTAAGCTTCCGTCGCGTGCGCAGCCTTAATGGTTAAAGTTACATAGAAATTATGTTTGACGGAAATATTCTACATAAAATTTTCTAAAAAATATCCCGCAACAGCATATGTCTATCTTTTATGGTTGACTTACAATAACACGTGTAACTCCTGATAGCTTAGCAGTTCGGAGCATTCTGATTATATTTGTTTACTCTTACGTTTATAATGCTCTCACTCATCCCTAATTTAAAAAAGTTAACATTATTACCTATTCAATAAAAAAAGAATCATAGAAATCGGTATTGAAACACCAAACTTATACATGAAATAAGCCATCGCGCCGTCGCACCTGAATACTGAATCATGCTATAAGGATTTATTTTTGTGTAACGGATAAGACAAAATGATCGACCAATGGGCGGTATCACAGTTTTATTTTGTGGTGATTTCCGACAAACCTTACCGGTAATACCACGGGGAACCCGAGCTGATGAGGTTAGGGCTTGCCTGAAAAGCTCTTATTTGTGGCGTGATATACAATCGGTGCATTTGACTATAAACATGCGAGTGAGAACTGGAGATAACCCGGATGATCGTGAATTTTCTGATATATTATTAAGGATTGGTGAAGGTACCTATCCACTCCTACACCAAGGAAAACTTATTCTGACGCCTGAATTATGTTGTATAGTGCAATCCCAACAACATATCTATCCACTGCTACACCAAGGAAAACTTATTCTGGCGCCTGAATTATGTTGTATAGTGCAATCCCAACAACATCTTATATCGTCAGTTTACGGTGACGTAACAAATATAGCTATATATATAAAACTCAAAGGTGACTGACTGCCATAGTGATCTATCAACGCACAGCCCAAACCACTGGACGGATCGGGCTGAAATTTGGCATGCAGGTAGATGTTATGACATAGGCATCCGCTAAGAAAGGATTTTGATCAATTTCACCCCCAAGAGGATAAAATAGGGAATGAAAGTTTGTATGAAATTTTAAACCGATCGGGCCTGAGACTTTGCATGCAGGTATAAGAAGAATCATAGATGAATGTCATTGTGTATAATACAAGCCTGAGAACAAAAACTGTAGTCTACACTTCAGCTCTACACCGAAGCGAAGCGAGGGCGGGCCACTAGTAAATAATAAAACTGGGAAGTTTAAAATCAAAAATATAAATTATAATCTACACATTAAAAATAAAAAAAGAGCGAGCCTTGCAGTAGTCGCGTATGATGTGTAACATTTGAAACCTCATCTTATATTAAAAAAAAAAAGAAATAAAACCTACTACAAAAGGAATAACATTATGTTCTAAAATCAAATCAAATAGCGCGCGCTTTCGCGACTTCAATATCCAATATTGAAGTTGCCACTGAATTTGATTTTTTTTACTGACATTCCAGTTTCAACTATCAAACCTTTGAGCTCCTCTCCCATTGAAACTGAGTGTATTTTAAAAGAAAGTTTGAATAATTGTAATACTCAGTTTGAATTATTATATATTAATTCTTATAATATAATGCAGTCTTTTGACCTATTAAATATAAAGAAAACCTCTGATCTCTGGGGAAATTCATTGATGTTTCTAAATCAGTAATTAAAACAATAGCTCCAATCTTAGCCGTCATATTTCACAGCAAGATAACTCCATTATTTAAAGCCGGTAGCACATCTGTCCCCACAAACTTTAGACCTATATCTGTGCTACCCACTTTTAGTTAGATATTTAAAAAAATAATGTTAGACCAAATGCAGTCTTATTTCTAAGTTAAAAACAAGTTACTTCATTCAAAACAATTTGGATTTACAAGGGGTCGCTCTACAACCGACGCTGGTGTTGAGCTTTTACAACATATTTTTAATGCCTGGAAGGAGTCACGTGATGCTTTAGGTGTCTTCTGTGATTTGTCCAAGGCTTTTGATTGCGTTTTTCATGAAACTATAATTAGGAAACTACGCTTCTATGGATTTAATGTTAGCACTCTGGATCTCATTGTGTCAAATTTGAGCGATAGGATCCAGAGTTAACATTAATGGCAAAAGATCTCCCGAATAACGATCCGGGAGATTCTCGAGCCCTGGGGAACACCCATCTTTACTAACGAGTAAAGATGGGTGTTCCTCAGGGCTCGATTCTTGGTCCTTTCTTGTTTTTAATTTATATAAATGACCTACCTTACTTAGTAAGGGATAATCACGAGATAGTATTGTTTGTACATGATACTTCACTTTTATTTAAAATTAAACGAAAGCAACCACTTATTGACAACGTGAACAATGCCATCTCTAAAGTAGTCCACTGGTTTAATGCTAATAATTTACTTCTTAATGAAGGTTAAACTAAATGTTTAAAAAATTTATTACCCAATGTGAAGCAGACACACCAATTTAACTATTAAAGATAACAATATGAACCTTGTGGACACTACAGTATTCTTAGGCATTATACTAGATTCAAAGCTTCAATGGGGCCCACATATTGAGAAATTATCGAAGAGACTTAGATCTGCAGCCTACGCGGTAATGAAGATACGCCAATTAACTGACGTAGATACTGCTCGATTAGTATATTTTGGTTATTTTCATAGTGCGATGTCGTACGGTATATTACTGTGGGAAAATACCGCCGACATTCAACTATTTTTGTGCTGCAAAAGCGGGCTGTTCGATCAATTTACAATCTTAAGACTAGAGACTCTTTAAGAGAAAAAAATAAAGTAATAGATATAATGACTGTTGCTTCTCAGTACATTTATGAAAATTTAATGCATGCTCGAAAAATATTACATTATTTCCTATAAATAGTGATAAGCACTCGCTTAATATTAGAAATAAGAATAAATTAGCTGTACCAATTACAAGGCTCCACAAATCAATAATTCATTTAAAGGTTTTTGTGCACGCTTCTATTGCTAGGGACTATAGCAATATCCAAACATTAAGCGTCAATAAATTTAAAAGTACCATTAAAAGAGTTCTTATTAATAAAGCCTATTATAAAGTGTCTGATTATATTTCAGACAAAAATGCTTGGGTTTAAACTGTTCCTAACGTTCCAGCAGGCTTTTCCTATAATTATGATGAAGATGAAATTATTTTGTATTGACACCGTAACAATATAATATTTTATAAATATTGTTACATAATTATTAACGCTGTGAAGGTTTTTTCGACAGTTTTCTCCACAGCTAAAAAATGTCCTTAATTGAGAAAAGAGAAAAAGAGTTGTTTTTTGCATCCAATTTGAATAAAGATATTTTGACTTTTGGATCGATGGCGGGTACAGTAGATAGCAAGTTCGTCCTGCGATCGTGGAAGTTAAACTTCCTTCACATTGGCTGGTCATAGAATGAGTGACCAAAAGTTCAGTATCTCAAGTGCGTCCGTGCTACGGAAGGCACGTATAAGTGCTTTCCGAAGGGCGTAGGGGTCAGGCCTTAGATTTTGCCACAAATAGCGCAATGGTGTCGCAAAAATTTCTACGAGTCCATAGCGCAGAGTGACGCAAAATGGTAGCGCAAAATTGTTAAGGAGTGCATACAAGATATGTAACGTAAGGACAGTGCTACAAAATAAAACACACTTTTAATAGGTAAGTATGACAAACGTCAACTTTTACTCTTATCTTTAAGTCCTAAAAGGTGTTACAAAAAAGCGGAGAGTTCTATTGCTAGAAATACAATTCCTTCACAGGAACTAAAATCGAAACCTCAAAAAAAACACAAATATTACAAAAGCTAAAAAAAACACCTGCAAGCCTATGTGTGTAAGCTCCTTTATTTGGTAGCGTAAAATTAGTAGCGCAAATTCTACTCCTCTGGTATCGCAAAGTTGCATAAAGTCATTTTTGCGCAACTGTTGCGCAAACAAAACCCATTATAACTTGATAAATAAGCTATTTTTTAATGTAAATTAAGCCTTGAAAGATGTCAAACATTTCATTAAATCGTGCGCAATAATAAGTATAGATATAAATCAAAAACTTACCGTGATATATCAAAAAACACTCTCCGCAAAAAATATGACACTTCCTTCTTTCAAACGATGTTGATGTTGGACTGAAAAAAATATGACCGCTGACAGCGTATTGACAATAGACAAAGTATGTTCGGTGTTGCCACTACTCAGACTTGAATACTGCTATTTTTTAAACACAACCAAATGGGCATTTATTAGTTGCGCAATAAAAAGTAGCGCAAAGGAATGGATTTTAAAGTTTTTCGAAAATGAGTGAAAATTTATGAAATTTCTTAGGTAATAGGAAACGATATTTAAAATGTGGCTAGGTAACTATTATTGTATATCGTTAAAGTAAACAGACTATCAAAAAGATTTTTATTTTTGATTTTATTGATGCTCAAAGTGCACCTCTCCCGGGACGGATAAGCACATTTTACGAAAAATTCATCTCTTTTTGTAGCAAAATATTTTATAAATTTCTAAGGTTTTGAAGATATTTAAATATATTTATTGATCGCGATTCACCATTTGTCAGGAAATATGATTCTGTTATTGAAAAAATTACTGTGCTTCTTTTTTAAAATGTGGCGGAGAGTTATGTTATAACTAATGTGGCAAAATTTACGGCCTGACCCGTAGACGTTTTTGTAAGGCTTCCTTGTCTATGTCTGTTGATCTCAGCAACATCTACAGTCCTTACCACCGCACTAGGCCTGGTTGATCATCATCATAGCATAAGTTGATGTCATTTTGATATCGCATTTTTCGGAGAGCATAATACGTAATGTGAAATAGACATCAAAACAATATCACAATTAGCGAGCATAATTGGCCTGCTGCGCGGTGACTCATTGTCTATTCTCCCTATTCCATCCATAGAGATTGTCAGTCAAGCAGTGGGAACATTAATTTGTTGATGATGATGATAAAGTAAATAAAAATATCACTCATATATCCACACATTTGGTGTTTCTTGATTATGAAATGCATTCCGTAGTAACCTCTGCCAGGAAATAACCATTTGCGCGGGAAAGTGAGGCGGGAATAGAAGCTTTTACAGAAAATTGCACTTGATGTTTTCCCTCCACAGATTAACAATTAAAGCAAAATGCCCAATGGAGTTACGCAATTTTCCAATGGATCGACAGTCATGCCCATTGATTCTAGGAAGCTGTAAGTACGAGTAACTAATAATGCTTACTTTGCTTGGTACATATTGAAATTTAATATATGAAAACACCTACAATCACTGTAATCTTATAAGGTTATAGTATTTTGGCTTCTTAAGTTTATAACTGCTAGATTTTATTTTTAACTAAAGAATTATTTACAAAATAATCAACTTGCCTTGATATTCAGACAAGCCACAAATCGGTCCTGAAACTATAAAGAGTATAGGAATCCGCTATTTCTATATGTATTTATTGAAAGGAATGAAATAAACATGAGATACAAAGGTTTCTTTTCTTTATTATGTACTGTCCGATAACTCGTTTAATCAAACCCTTTTGAACGGGTAAATGCTGTATGGATAGTTATATTTTACAAGGCCTACTGTAGGTTTCTTTTTTTGTCCATCTCATGAAGGTAATCAATTTTATAGCCCCTTCAAATATAATTAATTAATTAAAAAGATTTATTTAAAAATGCTTTCCGTTCCAGACGCTTACTCGAACCAACAGTTGGTGTACCAATGGCAGAACTCCCAGAGTGTAAACTTCGTTCCGGGTATGACCCTCTCACAGTTCGACTTAATCAGCTTCCCCTACAGGAATTTCACCTTTACAAGGAGAGAAGGTAAGAGCTGCCTGTACCTAATTTAAGAGACTTTAGTACATTGAGGTTAGAGAGAAGGAGAACGATCGCTGCGTGCTAAAGCTTTAGCCCGCCTGTCCCTGAAAATTTGTAAAATTTATAGTTCATTTTTCAGCCACCAGCCGCGCAGCCGTCGGTACGTAGTATCTGTGAAGTTAAGCTATTTATGAGTACAAGTAAATGAAGTTAGTTGAATAATGTACAAAGGACAATGGCGAACTCCCATACAAATTGTTGACAATTTTTTTTGTGTCTATTAATAAATTATATGTTATATTATAGAGTTTGGATTCTAGATTCAATTAGTCTTATTTATTTTATTATAGGAAGTCTGGTTTTATAGATATTCTACTTTGAAGTTTTGGAGGTTATGTCATACCAAGTAATACAAAAACGAATTATAAAAGTATTTTCAAGAGTATTTTTAGATCAAAATAAAAAATACGTGGAACAGAACTATACAAGTATACCGGTTCAGTAGATTTGTGATGAAAAAAAATATTTTTATAATGTATGATCAGCGGGTGTAGGTACTAACCGACCGCGTCAAAATACTTTATAATACTTAACAAACATGAGTTATTGAGTTCGATTACAATATCTGTGCTGTAAGAAGTACTTTACAATTTGGGAATGCCCACAGCAATATTAAAGCATATTTTTTTTTTTAATAGTGTACTAATGGGATATTAATTAAATATGAAACACTTTTTTTATATATTTTTATTTCACATCTTCGTTGATTAGAATATCATAGATAGTAGATAAAATGAAATAAATTCCACAGTATGAGACAGAATCTTGTCCAAAATCCACAGCAAGAAGTCGTCCAAAATAGCAGATTCGGAATTCTTAGGCAAGCACTACTCAACAGCCATAGTGGAAGATTTCAAAAGTCCAAAAGCAGTACAAGTCACATAAAAAAACAAATCTCAGTAAAAAAACATAATACGCCGTTTTAAACCTTTGCAATACGCATGCACAAGCAACGATAATGATAACAACAACAATTCGATGGCAAGCATTACAGAGACAGTTTTTTTGTGTTAGAATTAGCCCAATACTCCTTTTGTATTGTGGAGATTATTTATTATGGCTTCAGTATAATATTGAAAAGTAATGTATCGTGATCTTTTTAATAGATAATTAAATATGTTTTAAGCGTAAAGCGATGCAAAACATACGAACAACATACTTTAAGTTGATTTAATCACTAAAATCATTTAGAATAATCGTCAATAAGTCATGATGTTAAGTCACAATAAAGAAAAAGAAAATTAGTTAATTGTGTTTCCCTTTTTTAAGTTTTTAATTCCAGACTTAGACAACCGTCCTCAATTATTTCATAAATCTTATAAATTTGTATGTTTGTAACAAATAATCTGTCAAACTACTGAACCGGTTTCAAATATTAATTCATCATAAGGTAGCTACATTATTTATTATTACATTTTTCTTTATTCCAATACATTTTGTCGGAGTGACATAGGCTATATTTTATCCCCATAAAAAAATTTGGCCCGTACAATGCCCGGGTGGATCATTAGTAAGTATAATATAATATTATAGATGCGAAAGTGAGTTTGTTTGTTGCGCTTCCGTGCCCTAATAGATAAATCGAATATAATGAATTCCCATATAGAAGTAGATGGGAACTTGGTTCTTAGCTACAACATCGCAATACTTATAGGCGTAGGGTGATGAAAGGGATGATTTACCTATAAAAATCTACATTATTTACTTTGAATTTTGCAGAATTATTACAAAACCAATATTATCGGGAGCTGATTAATAAATACAGGGATTCCAATAAGTATGTACTTACTAGCGAAAAATGGGTTATTTGTCATTATATTAAGTAAACCTTTTTTGTAACATTAAGTAACATCGTTAAAAAATATGAAAAACAGTAAAATTCTGAGTTTTTCATTAAAATCAATAATCATAAATACCTTTTATGATAATATATTTTTCATCATTTATTAAGAAGGAACTGTATCACAGTTTTATTGTTAGTGCTTCGTATAGGATCAAATACTGCGAATAGCCCATTTTTTTTTCTTTTGCATAGTACACCGCACTATCACTTTGTCATCGTTGTAACTTTTTAAATATTTGTCGAAACGACATAGTGTAAAAAGCAAAGTTTATCGTCTTTAAATATCAAAAGCGATAAAAGTATTTGTTTTGATAAAAAATGATTTATTTGATTCTTAGGTTTTCACGCACATCACTCATTAAATAAAACTAGTTTTTACGGGTTAATGCACGAAACTTTATTTATTTATTGACGTTTCGCAGCCTTTTCAGGTCTGCATCGTCAGAATAATGATTTTTTATTTAAAATTGTCGAGCTACCTTCGAAAGACTTATATTGAGCGTTCGGTTATGTCATTGGAAGATTTTTAAAATTTTATTGTCTATGTATGAATTTATTATTTAATTTACTTAATAAAGTATTTTATTTATAATTCTTGTTTGTAATTTTGAGTTTATTTATTTGACCCTAACTACCGTAAACTACCACCGGTTCCAAAATTGGGAGACCTTCCTGAGAAGAACCGGCGAAACAAACTCAAGAGAGGCTTTCTATCTCCTTCTTATGTTAAATTTTGCAAACAAAAAGAACTAATAGTATCTGATGGTCTTGCAGTGTGTGCTCGGGGTTGGGATTTTATCTCCTGTATAATAGGTTCCCAAGCTGGTGGTATATACCAACCATGTGAACCAACCAAAAAATGATTTGTTAATACAAAATGTGCATTTTGGAAATAGATATCAAATAATATTTTAGTTTTGATTCACTATTTTAGCGGTAATGACTTACATATTAAAAATAGATATATGGTGTCACGGACTTTTTTTAGAACTATTTAAGAGATACATTTTCACTCTACATTACATTCATGTAACTTTTATTGTTTTTGCAGTGCAGGCCAAAATGGCTCGCAGATGGGAGATTTTTTTCCGTCTTATGTGACACTTATTGTTATATATTGGCCAATTCACTCAATAACTACATAAATTATTATACATATGTAATTATCATATATGAGCTATATTACTGTTAAGTTTCATTAAAATCCATTCAGTATTTTTAGGTGAAAGAGTAACAAAGATCCATACAAACGTAAGATTGAAATTAAAAGCGAAAGTGGTTAATATACAACTTTAAAGCGTTGTAGATCCTAAACAATCATATTAAATGAAAAATTGTGTTAGGAACCTAAATATGATTTTTGATTATCTAGACAGTGATACTCCACTCGACATATTTTGTCAACTTATTTTTTTTACTTCGTCACAAAATGGCGCCCAATTTTGCCCATATTGAATTTTGATTACTATCATATCTTTAGTAGCGCTCCCATAATTGAGACGAATCGATTGATGTATGAATCATCAAAATCGGTCCAGGCGTTTGGTCTCTAGTGTGCCACAAAGGAACAAACATACATATATAGACTGTTAAACACATAACCCTGTCTGCGCGTCGCGCTTCGCGCTCTTGCATTGCGCAGCCGGGTAAAAAATATATACCTACTGAAGAATAGAGAACCTCCTTCTTTTTGAAGTCCGTTTAGAAGTATATGAAAACATTTATAGATGAGAAATATCTTTGTTTCTTATGTGTTCACGCCCATACATTACGATAAAATAATGTGAACTTTCTAAACAAATAAAATAAAATAAATAAAATACGTGTGGCACTCGGGGGCTGCCGCGGTAAAGCTATTGCATAGCAATATTTATCAACTTATGCAATTATATATTTATTTATGCACTATTTTTTTATTTGATATTAATTCAAGTCTTTTTTTGTTTTTCAAATATTTTACTGCGCAAGCACAGCAAACAACAGCATTGCCAGGAGCCAAATAACTTCCACAAGCTACAGTTTACCATCTTTAGTCCAAAAATTTAAATTATAAAGTCTAATTAAAAGGGAGACAAATTAAAATAAGAACAGGTGCTGGGGTCTAAAACAAATATATAAAAAAAGGAAAAAATATGATAAAAAATACGAGTGCGGGATTTGAACCGACGCGACGACCGCGGTGATGCGTAGAACGTTGGTCCCGTGGCAAAAACTTAACACACTGCGCCGTTTCGATCGATACTGGAAAGGCGAAGATTGTGTTCATATGCACTGTTGTCAAGTTCTTTTCGTTACGGAATTTCTTGATTCGGTCGCCGCGCTCAAAGCCAGTGATAAAATCTATGCAATAGCTTAAAAAGTATAGTAGAATAATTAATTTCATTATGAAATGATATGACAGACACCCATTTCCGTAGATTTTCAGGTTTTTGTTATATTATAACTCTAAGAAACGTCATGATCTCATAATAAAGTAAGTACTTATATAACTACCAACATTTCACCCGAATGTGTTTCTAAAAGAAAAAATATGCTGTGTCATCATTTCACGCTACATTAATTACTAAGAACTGTCACTAATTGAGCAAGAAAGTTTATTTGCTGCAAACAAGACGACCATTATTACTCAGCCTAACCAAACAGTGATTATTTTTTTCTCACACTTTGTCCCTCGAGTTCCAATCCCTGCAGGGCCGTAGCTAGGGGGCGGACATTTTGGGGCAATGCCCTACCTTAAAATATAATTGCCCTACCATCAAAAAGGACATCGACGAAATCGGCCCTAGCATGCCAAAAGAATGTCCTTCACTATTATTTTTCTATTATTTTTTAACTTATTAGCTATTAATCATAGCAAACGGACAATCTGTTTAAAAAAATAAAAAATTAAAGTGCTGTTACTAGATACTACAGTCTGTTCATCCAACTTGTCCTATTTGGTAAACAATCTTGGCACTCCTTTTTATTGAAAAAACAGCATTAAAAATCAACTGATAACTGTTATCAATAGGTTTCAGTCTATAATAACGATTTATTACCCGGCTGCGCAATGCAAGAGCGCGAAGCGCGACGCGCAGACAGGGTTATGTGTTTAACAGTCTAT